TCCCGGTTTTCCATTTCTTAATGCAGTCCTTCACGACTTGAAAGAGAGGCAAGTTGTGCGTATTTTCGCGATGACTTGTCGCACTCTATCAAACACTGATTTTGGTTTCGCTCAGGGAACATCGGAAGGAGCCTTGACAAAAAAAAAAGCAAAGGAAGGACTCGATTATTTGCATTCTGATGAAGATCAAGTAGGTCATTGTTAAATAACAATGCATTTCAGTATCGCAATTTGTAACCCATTTTACTCCACGCCGTAGGTACCCTTTACTTAAGTGCGTGTAAAAACGTGACCTGATCGCGATTGAGAATTCATTAATTAACTAAACTTTCTGATCATAAAACTCCGAACAATCTCTTAGGAGGTGCCATACCAACCAAATGGAGGACCGATAGAGAGTGGTGAATATATCGACTTTCGACTCTACGATATGTGGGACAGATCAGAGCTTCCGTCTCCTACTGAGCGGTACTACAACATGCCAACATACGAAGTGTCTGATGAGGAAGTAAGTTTGAGGTCGTCAAACGTTGCTAGTGAGTAGTTGAGCTCTATCATTGATGCCAATTTCTAAACCAAGTCATTTAAAGTGTTCTAAGGTGGCACTAGATGGTAATAGGCCCTGGCGGTATAATGGACTTGACAACTTGTTAACCAGCATTACTGTCAATGCTATTACTTACTTTTATAGGCGGCTTTGTCTTCATTTCACTTTTCACTTTCGTAACTACCATTTTAGTCGACAACGAAGTCAGATGAACAGGCGGAGCAACTTAAGCACAGAGATACAAGCGGCTGTCTGGAAACTCAAAATGAGGCATTCGAAGACGCCTTGCCTGATGAAAATTATCTAAAAATTGGAAAAATTTATCGCATCCTCGACGATCCTATGCTAGACGTACAGGGTGCTGAGTGGAGTAGTAACCCAGGCTTCCAAGGTGGAACACCAGACAACGTTAAAACGGACAGTAATTGTGAAGACTCAGATATTATTTCAGAACAAAAGAAATATCAAAGGAAATATAAGGTAAATTCCTCATTTCATACAGCAAAGGCAGATTGCGTGTGTTGTAAATAAGACGTGCTGTACTCTTATCTGGTTTACCATTCATTATGTAATGTCCAAGCCACGCGATGCTGCTTCATGTAGACCGCCGAGAGAGCGAGAGAGAGACTTGATCCACAACTTCTTGCGAATGTTCCCCGTTGTATGTAGAGTGCGCGTC